TCACAAAACAAGTATTTCACCACTCCTTGACCCTCAGATACAGGTGGGAAAAACAGCTGTTGAAATTAATTGAATTAAGATCTCTGATGTTCTTCTGTATAAAAAGGCAGAGCTAAAATAAACCGGGGCTGCAGTCTCTACTGACAGTCCTCCCAAGTATCTTTTTCTCTGTCTCCTGTTTTTTCTTTCAATCCTCACTCCCCCTTTCAGGTAGTGTCCGTCTTGGCCGGCTGGCACCGGCACGTCCCCTGGCAGTACACCTTCTGCCCTTTCCTACCAAACAAGAAGTTCTGTGGGTGGACAAGAAGGCCAAACTGCCTACCTTCCAGGATCTCTAACAGCTCTCATATCATCTTTGCCCAATCAGATGCTGAGGCTCTCTCCATCCTGTCAGGGATCTCTCCCATGCTCTCCTCTATTGAAATGGACCAAGAGACAAGCAAATGGACTAATCAGACACCCAATCAGGAGACAGCATCATCCAGTCTCTCCTCTCATAGGAATCCCCATTTCTTATTGTCACTCTATTGGAGACTCTTCTACCCTTAATTTAACTTTAAAAAGGAAAACTTCTCTTCTAGAGAAGGGGAAAGGACCCAGTCATTACATTCATGATTTTTCAGATTCCCATTACCATAATTAGTCACTTCATTAAAGGTGGCAAAGAGGTGGCAGATGCAGAGGAGTTGGTTCCAAGACTTACTAACTCTGAGGAGAATCTAAATAATTTCTATTTGGAGTATTTCTCTTCACTGTATTTAAAAATAATATGTATTGGCAGCAAATGCAGAAGGACAACATAACTATGTTTATAGTAACACAAAAGGAAGAAAGAAGCTCTATTTCCACCCCAGCTAGTCTTAGGAAAGGAACACTAATGTTTAAGGTAACCACCACTGTCAGGGAGCTACAGAAAAAAGAAGGAAGAACCTTCTTTTGGGCACCTCTGAGAAGGAAGAAGTGGCAGAGTGACTGGGAGGAAGATAGGATGGTTCCAGAACATGCAAACAGGCATTCAGAACTGAAGGAAGCATGGGCTCTGGCATCAGGCATGTTGGAGTTTTCATTCAACTGTTGCCCTAGTGAAAACAAATGTGCACTTGGGAAAGTTAGATATTCTTTCTAAAAACTTGCTTCCTCTTAGGGAAATTAGGCATGTTTGCTTCCTTAAATAATGTGATCTCTGGGAGCATCTACCTCAGTGTCTAATATGTTAAATGTTCACCAAAATAAATGACAAATATAAATGTGACACTGTTATCTGAAGCAGTAACATCCTTAAAATACACTTTCCAGTGCTCTACGTAGCTCGTTAAACCAATTAAATATCTCACAGTGATGCATTATCACCTATGATTACATATTTGCGAAATGAGAATCCATATAATTTTGTGTTAAAAGTCGTAAAATTTTTGTTTATATTCTCAAAAGTTAAATTAATAATTTTATTGCTCTTCTCCTTAAAATATAGTGAGTTGCATTGGATTTACAAAAATAGATGAGTTTGGCTTCCTAAATTTATGGACTGGAATTGTATTGAGGACTGTTGCTGAAAATTAGTCAACAATAGTTAAGCAGCACCAGAGTTTGGCTTCACAGTGTGAGTTACTCAGACATTTTTCACAGGGAGTCTGAACACTTATCAAGCTGAAGTAGAAGATGCCTCAAACCCAGAAGAGAAACCAAAATAAGATTCTTCTCAGAACTTATTTTACATATTCATAAAATATCTATCTTGTATAACTTTCCTTCCTTAAATGACTAAATAAAACCTTAAAATATATGAAGAAGGGCTTTCCCAAGGAAAGAGCTTGTGCTAACATTATCTGGCATCTAAAACATAGAAAAGCAGATACCAAAACATAAGATTTTGTTTCCACGTATTACAAAACATATTTTGTAGTCCAACCAAAGTAATACTATCACCCATAACTGCAAAACCTATCTTCTTTGAATACATTTAGGCACTAAATTTCTTAATTGGATAATTATGAATATTCTAGATTTAGAGCTTCCTGAAAATCTACTTTAATTTTGTTATTAGCTGCTATTAACCAAATTGGTGCGTTGTAAGAAGTATCTGTGAGTTCAAACTATTAAAGTTTCATATTCCTCAGTGATTTGTCTGTAAATCACAAAATTCTAAAATGTAAACATTTACCATAAAATCTCCAAATATTGTATCCTATGATTCAGGATAGAACAGAGGGTTTAACAACTCTATATTTGAGTGATTATTTTGTTGGCAATATTTTAGAGCTATGGAAAATCATGGTATACCAAATCTGAGCTTAAGGAGTCAGCACCTGTGTCTTAGGTTTGAACGTTTTTGTCTTCCCCAAAAATCATGTTGAAACTGCATCCTTATGCAATAAAATATGAGTTGAGGCATTTGGCAGGTTGTTGATCATGAAGGATCCTACCTCACAAATAAAATTAAGATCTTTTTTCGGTCTTTTTGACACAGGGTCTCCCTGTAGTCCAGCTGACCTGAACTCACTATGTAGACCAGGCTGGCCTTGAACTCGGAGGTCTGCCTGCCTCTGCCTCCCGAGTGCTGGGAGTAAAGGAGTATGCCACCACGCCTGGCAGATCTTTATTTTTTAATAAAAATATTTTTCCTAGCATTTGGCCCATGTGCCCTTCTTCCCTCCACCATATGAAGAAGCAGGAACAAGGCACCACCCTGGAAGCATGCAGGGGCCCTCACTACACAGCAAACCAGCAGCACCTTGGTGTGAAGGCCTGAGCTCTGATCTTAATGAAGGCCTGTAGTCAAAGACACTCAGAGCTGGAACGGGAAGCCTCAGTTCCCTGAGAACTTGGATGTTCTTCTGCAGTTATTCTTATCATAAGACTGACTGTTCCTTGTACCTGATTAAAGGTACATAATAAAGCTACAAAGATATATAAGATCCCAAACAGGGCTGAGCCCTGGGAACCTGAAGATATTGTAAAGGTCAGGAAGGTACTACAAATGTCAGAATGAGATCATTTGGCCTGAGTAGAACATTTCTCTTCCTCTTGTTGTACTATAAATAAGGTTGATTCTTAGAATAAAGCATGCATTAGTTCATACTCCACTGCATCCCGTGCATCCTGATTTCTTCTGCACCTATACCTCAGGGCCCCCAAGCCCCTCAGGCTTGAATTGTGGTCACTGACCTGTGACACCTTGGTCTTGTTATTTTCAGTCTTCCAAAATCTGCAGGAAGTACATTTTTTTAAAAACTATGGATTGCTTCACAGATGTGCATGGACTCCTTGCACAGAGGCCATGTTAATCTATGTATCTTTCCGATTTTATTGTATATGGGGCCAAAGCAAGCACAAGAAGTTGGGAGAATTATTACCCAGTGAGTGGTGGGTTTGTTTTAATAGATGCACAAATGGACTGAAGATAGCTGCCTTACTGGTTTCCGCTGCCAACATCCATCCACAGGCAGGAGCAATCTATACTGAGCCCTAAAATGGTCTCTTCCCTTAAGATCACTGGTTCAAATGGTGACAAAGTAGTTATACTAGATATCGTCATCCTAGAAGGGGGGAAGGTATCTGTGACACAAAAACAAAACAAAGGGCCAGGCCTGGTGGTGCAGGCCTGTAATCTCAGCTGCTCAGGATGCTGATACAGGCATTTCAAAGTTATCTAGGATATAGCATGAGTTCAAATATATCCTGTTCAATTTAGAAAGACCTTGTCTCAAATTTAAAGGTGAAGGAGGAAAAAAGGAAAAAGAAAAAAGGGACATGGTCGGTTCCAGCTCAGTATCTCCACGTACCATCCCCAAACTGTGTGGTATCTTCAGCAATAGGATCTTACCTTCCAGTTCTTGGAGGAAATCAAGGACAATGTCAATAACCTGTATTGTTTGGGGACTCTCTATGACTACTTTGATCAACAACTCAAAGGGAGGTTTTCTATGCCTGGCACTAGAGTTTTTGTTAAATAGTCTATGATTCCTGGCACTGGAGTTTTTGTTAAATAGTTTAACATCCTGTATGGAGGGGAGAGGAGGGCAGGAATTATGTACTGCATAAACGCAGGACTTTTTAATAAAACTATCAAAAAAATTTTCATAAGGAAAAAAGAGGCCTTGGGATAAAGCTCAATGGTAGAACCTAATAGAGCCTGGTATTCATGAAGCCCTAGTTCAAGCTCTAGTATTATTAAATAAATAAATAAATAAATAAATAAATAAATAAATAAATAAATAATCTAGATATATATACCACCTTTGTGCCTTAGCCAACATCTCTTCATATTTAAAAGAGCATCTGACCCACCAGTATTATATTTCTTACAACATTTCCTCAGACCACTGTATTCACTTTACAGAGAAAAAAAATATGAAGAGTCCAGTGGCCTGCTAGAAAGTATATCAATACTCTTTTTGGAGCTCAATTCAGTTTAAGACTCACCTCAACACCAAACGTATACTTTCTGAGAATGAGGTTTCAAAACATAATTCACACATTGATTCAAAGACCTTTCTATTGTACAATACGCTACATACTAAGTACCTTTGTTTATCTCCAAAAGAGAGTGCTGGTTGCCACAGTTTCAACCTGAAGTGTCTCCTGAAATTTCACATGTTAAGGGACTGGTTGCCAGCTGATGGGTTTAGAGAAAGTAAGTGTATCCCAAGGGCATTAACATAACAAAAGGGTTAATTCTTTAATGAATACATGACACAATAATATCATTGGGAAGTGATGAAAACAAGGAGATGAGGCCTGGATGGAGGAAGTAGGTCACTGGGGACATACTTGAAGGGTATATTATGTATCAAGAGCCCTTATTCTCTTTCCTAGCCACCATGAGGGAATAGCTTTTTTCATGCCACACTCCTGAAGCTATGATGTCTTGTTTACCAAGGGTTGTGAGTTTGAGATGACTGTGGGCTGAAAACTCTGAAATCAAGAGCCAAATAAGTTGATTTCATCAGGGGTTTTTCCAACCAATAAAAATCAGAGTGACACACTATTCATTACTATAAGTAATGGTACCTCTACTTACTGTCACTCTCGATGGACTTTGAGGAGCTTAAGCATGGCAGGATTAAAGCACTGAAGGAGAATGCCTGTGGTGGTCTTATTGACAATGTCCCCCATTGGCTCCAAGTATTTGAACACTTTGGCCTTAGTTGGTGGCTCTGTTGTTGGAGATTCAAAATGTGTGACCTTGGAGGAAGAAGCACATCACTGAGGGTGGGTGCTAGCCTTGCCCATTTCCAGTTGCCTTTTTCTCTCTCTCTCTGCTTCCTGTGCCTGTTTAAAGATATGAGCTCTTGGCTTTCTGCTCTGGACGCCTCCTGCCATGATACACTTTTAACACCTTGGAAACATATGCCCAATAAACTCTTCCTTGCAGTGCTTAAAAGGCTTCTCTAGAAGACGCCTGATTGAAGATGTTACATAGAGAGATGGAAACAAGAACTTAAATAGCATGGATATTTTGGCAGAAGTCTGGCTGCCATCTGCCCATCCTGAGGTAAAATTTAAAAGTAATGGACTTATTTCTTTGGTGGAGGATATTTCAAGACAGCCTAACATTGAATCTGTGGTGCATTAATACATAGTATTATGTACAGCTACAGTGAAAAAGAGCAAGCAGGGCAGAAAGAAATATAAAATATTCAGTTGGAGAGAAAAGGAGCACCAGAAAGCTTAATGTTGGAACCAAGGCAGCCAGTTATGTGCTGGAAGAAAGGCTCTCCTTGATAAGGAGATTAGAATCATTAAGGAAAGCCCTCCAGTTTGCATTTGAACAATGATAAAATACCTCAGGACAAGACCCCACACAGCTAAGCTTCCAACTTATGATAGAAAAAGGTCTAATGACTTTTCTGCTCCTAGAAATCAGAAACATACAAAATTTGCTGGTAATGTGGATGAAGGTAGCCACAGTCCATCCTAAACTGGCAACCTAACTAGGCAGTGCCAATCACATGGTGCTGAATTTAGATGCATGAAAGATGCAAGGGTAAAGGGATCAAGAGGTCATCCTCAGTGGTTTCAGAGAGCTACTGAGGCTAGGCATCAGGGAGCAAAAGAGTCCCTGTTTAAAGAAGGTCCTGGGAGGCCACTATATGAAGCTGTGATGATCAAGCCTGGTGGGCAATGGAGACCCGAAGATGTTAGCAATGTCAGAGTCACAAGACATCTGCCAAGGAGAGCTGCATACAGGGAATGATACCAGCAGAAGAAAGAAAGTATGTTGTAGGCAGCAAAGTGGGAGAGGTTGAGCCACGTAAGTCCTTTGAAACTGAAGTTCCAGACACTGGACATGGAGTTGTAGGATTTGGTGTTTCCCTTGTTGGTTTTCAGTCATGCTTTAGTCCAGTATTTCCTCACTATACTGCTGTTCCTCTCTTCTATAACAGAAATGGGCATTATGTGCCATTGTGTATTGGAAGTATATAACTTGCTTTTTTTTTACAGTTTCTCATCTTAATTTATTGCATTTATTTTTTTAATTAAAAAAACTTTATTGAGAATTTCATACATGCATATAAGGTGTTTTGATCAAATCCATGCCTACTCCTTCCCTTCCAACACCCATATCTTCCCATCACTTTTTTCTTACAACTTCGTGTGCTCTTCCTTTATTTCTTCCTTCCTTCCTTTCTTTCTTTCTTTTTAAATGGGGCTTTTTGCTGCATTAACATTCCCCTCTAAGAAGAGGTAACCTTAAAATCTTTTAAGAATTAGATAAGAGTTCCCAAATACTTTTGACATTTTTGGCCTTTGGAACAGAGTATGATGCTAAGAGGCCCAAGGACATTTTGACTTTTAGCCAAGAAACTGGCTAGTTTTCTTTGGGGTCATTTTTTACCCTAACTGCCTAGCCAATTCCTACCTCCTATTCTTATCAAACCATCCTCTGAAGAGGTTACCCAAATTTTTGATAGGGAATCAGGATGGAGACCATTCTGCCTTCTTCCATGTTGAACAGGGACACAGGGTTAGGCAATTGGGATACCACTTTAGAGAGTCTATCTAAAAGACTCCAAAATTGCATAACACTTATCTGTAGGGAGAAAAGAAAGTCCTTGGCTGGTGAATAGGAGATTTGAAGAAGAAGTAAAGGCAAGAGTAGTTAGCATTACAAGTTCTAGACAGGGAATCAGAAAAAAGTCTGAATAGGGCAAATTTCAAATGCTCATATCAGAGTTCATTGTGATTTCTTGACAAAAGCTTCCAAAAGCATTCCTCTATTGGGTTACTCCTCTTTTTTCTTTTGTCTGCCAAGGCTGGACTTGAGAGTGGTATACTCAGGATTTGTTTTCTGGCACTTTGATAGCTGTTGTAGTGGCTAGAATCAGTGTCAGTTCCCTCTCAAAGGCTTCTAGATAGGGGGAGAGAACAAATTTAGCCATCATTTTATAACAATAGTGGGTTATCTCCCTTAACTACATGTAGGCACTACAGCATTGAAGACCAAGATTTGAAGTCTTACACCTGAGCAGCCCTTTCTGCTTAGAAACAAAATCATCAATGAGAAATAATTGTCTAAATAACATTTTATATGGACTTAAACCTAATGTCTGAGAAGTGTAATCCCTTGAATTCTTAAAGAAATATACTTATCACTTTAATCTTTGGTCATACTTTCCTTTTGGATGTTTAACACCATACAGTTGGCCCAAATAAACCAATTGATTTTTACTCTTCAGGTTGTTGAAGGATCTGTTCCTTAGGGGTCACATGGGCTTGGGAGGAACCCATGGCTCCTTTCTTTTACCAGTTCCATCTATGTGAAGATAAGTAAAAGGTCCTGCTCAACCATAGCTAGCTTCACTTGGAAGCATGGAGGAAATGTTTCCTCTAATCTGACCCTCCTCTTTGTAGAATGGACACTGGTTCAAATCCATCTGGTAAGGTCTCCATGGTCTCCCTGAACAGGAGGACAGGTAACTCACCACAGTTACAGAATAGTTTGAGAGATACTCTGTAGTCCCCTGGAACTTAGTCAACCTTTAATTTGCTTTTTGATTGTACAGGGATTTACAAATGTGCTATAAATCTCAGAAGAGACTTTGGGCTTTGAACTTTTGAACACTGTTGAGACTGTTAAAGACTATGGGGACTTTTAAAGTTAATGTGAATACAGTTTTCATTGTGGTATGGTTATGAGCCTATGGTGGCCAGAGAATGGAATGCGATGGCTTGAATTAGAATGTCCCCATAAGCTTCAAGTATTTAAATACTTTCTCCCTAACCAGTAGCTCTGTTGTCAGGATTTAGAAGGTATGGCCTTGGTGGAGGAAGCATGTCACTGGACCTGGGCTCTAGCCCTGCCCATTTTCCTGTTTTGTTTTGTTTTATTT